TATATAACATATTTGGAGCAGATTTTATTTTTGTTTAAATGCAATAAATTCAGTTTTCAAACTCTGCCCTGGCATCGTTTGATATGGGCACATGCTTAAAGCCAGAGATGGAGACTTGCAAGTCGTGACTTGGACTCGAGTCAGACTTGAGTCACTATTTTTAGGACTTGAGACTTGACTTGAAAAAAATGGACTAAGATTTGGAACTCGACTTGGACTTGAAGGTCAGTGACTTGGGAAGACTTGAGAAGCACTTTTAAATTGGAATTCTTTCTATTCTGACCATAATGATTCACATTAAGATCTTGTCAAAACATTTAAAAAGGAAAAAAATTACATTTCTACAACTCAATATATATTCTATAAATACTCATATATAAATATATTATTTTAAGTACAATTTAGTTTAAAATTCATATAAATTGTTAAAATCTAAACTATATTTGGTACTTTGGTTTAAAGACTTGAAATGACTTGAAGCTGAAAGCAGACGACTTGGACTTATGGGCCAGTGACTCGAGACTTGACTTGGACTTGCCTGTATTTGACTTGGGACTTGACTCGGACTTGAGGTCAAAGACTTGAGACTTGAGACTTGCAAAACAACGATTTGGTCCCACCTCTGCTTAAAGCTATAGTATCGGAAACGGTATCGGAACAGAAAAGCTAGATCAGTACATTTGTAGGATTAAGCATATCAAATCAATATCACAATATTAGTGGTTACAATTAGCAAATTGCATCTCAAGTTAAATCAAAATTTAAATTTACAATACTGCAATACTGGTAAAAAAACAACAACAAACAAACAAACAAAAAAAACAATCCTTAGACTTTTGTTCAGTACAAAATAAAGCAGTTAGTAGTTTCCAAAATGTTGCAATTTCATCTTTCATCTATCGACTTCTCAAGATAATCTAATATAATAACAAAATTATGCAGTTTCTATTATACACAAAGGGACCTTGTTGATATCTTGTACACGCCTAAATGAGAAAATGAAGGCTAGCAACTTACTGACAAACCACTGCGCAATCACATCTCACTGACAAAGCAGAGCATCTGAAAGCCAAAAAAACACCAAAAACTGTTCTATTCAACGCACCAATCACAAGCTGCCAATGAGGACCACTGCTGATTTGATTGAGAAGCCCCTCGCCGCTCCCCCTCCTCCTGTGAAACCGCACAGCCCTCTCCCATCATCAGTTGAGAATGAGCAACGATTAAGTCACAAAGAACTGTAATGACTTCAGCAGGGTCAGTCCGCCTGCGTACAATTTACACACTGTTCCTCCAGTCAGAGAGGGAGGAGGGCGGGCTGGGGTGTGTTGAATATTCATGCTGGTGCGCCCCTGCTTTACCCCGGGTGGGCACACACCAGATGAGATCACTGGTGTCTCTTTTTGGGGGGATTTCTGAATGTAATGGTGTGACCAGGGTGACTCAATCTCAATTACGTTTTATGGCGATGCAAAGTTTGATGCAGTTTCTAAAAATGCGCTTGTGTACTGTAAGAATGCATCGCAAGATTGGGAGCAGTCTGTTGGGACGGTGGTAAGAAAAGCCAAAATAAAAAAAATATAATAATAATCTGCCATAGAAAAGGTTACTAATGAAGTCATCACAACAACTGATATTCTTGTTCTACAGTATGGCATTAATCTATTAGCCTGATTCATCAGCCGGTTTCACTTTGTGGAAACCATCTGATCTCGCAGCATTAGGTTTCGTTCGCTCGATGGTTGGCCAACACTTTTTTTATTTAACCAATCGCTGCTATTTGGTCGTGATGTCTGTAATGTGCTGCTAACGGGGCTAAGTGGTATACTTAGTCCAAATCCAAATCCCGTAGGAAGAAGGGCAATAATGTCTTTCCCCTTGATAAAATTCACCAAACATTCTCTTTGTTCCAGCTTTAAATCCTAAATCTCGGAAATCGTTGCCAACACAGAATGTATGTCTTCATCTACATCCATCTCAACTGCTTTATTTACTGTTGTACTGTACCACAAAAAGGACCCAGACAGGCGCTTGTGTTTGACGTCATGGCTTCACAGCTCTTTGCTGATTGGCCAAATTTGACCCGCGATATAATTATATCTGGCCCGCGAGACAATATCAAATATGTATTAGAGCTAGCCCGCCGGCTACAGATTTAAAATTTTGTTATTATGCTTGTTCTGGATTCAAATTTTAAGCAAAACTATTATTCAATAAATTTTAATAACAAAAGGATTAACATTACATATCTCGAAAAAAGAGAAAACATGCAGATGTTGTTGAAATGTTTCAATAAATATTTAGTTTGGCCCACAACTTAGTCCCAGTTTTTAATTTTGGCCCTCTGTGAATTTGAGTTTGATACCCCTGGTCAAGTGTATTCTGATTCCTGACCTAGTCGCTGGAGAGAAATGAAATTGAGTGGAGGCACTAGGTGGCGCCAGCCTGGCTGGTGATGACATATATGGAACTGGCTCCAAATTTGCCCCTATAATCTCTAGCACTGTGACCTTCATTTGACTGGAGCTGAACGCTATGGGTGACCTCATTCTGAATTAGTCCACTTCTTTATACAGTCCATGTTACCAGCCTATAATACTTTCATAAAATTCTCTAGCCACAATTGGAACAGTATCAGCCAGTGTTGATGACCTGAACTTGCCATTTTACATCCAAGCAAAACCAGCTAAATTCCGTGAAGAAACAGAAAAGAAGAAGTGTCCTATACATTTTGTTCTATCGGTGTAAGAATAGACAGTGCTTGGACTCCTCCTCATATAGAAAGCTTTTATTGTCAGTCGAGCAGGACCTGGCCAGTGTAGCAGTGAAAAGTCAGACCACCTGCACTTACTTACTCTGCAGAAACCCCGGGAGCGAGTGTCTTAGAGAGGCTCCGAGGATTAACTTACGACTTTTATGGCTCATTCTGCACACGCTATTACACCTACTCAATCACACTTTGCCTCTGGGCCATAAATAATTTTAACAGAGCTGCACAGACGCTCGGTGCCCGCTTGACCTGCGACTGTGCCGAGCTGTCATTCGGCCTTACGCATGAATCTATGAGCCACTCTTCGGCATTTTTGGAGGAGTTTGAAAGTGAAGTTTGCTGCTGAAACAGAGAGAGGAGAGCCATAGTATGCATAGTGGCAAGGTGAGAAGATGAGAGAAAGCATACACAAGCAGGTTGGTAGCAGTGGTTCTTAAATAATAAACTAATAATGAGTCACCACATCTGTTCCGTACTAAATCTTGGGATTAAGACGTGAATTTTGTAAGGTTTCTGCCCGTCTCCATGGAGATGTTATTGCTTAACCTGGAATGTGCCACAATATGGTATTAGACTTGTCCATAAAAACAAGAATGTGATGTCACCAAGCTAAGTTACGGGACAGATCTATGGAGAGGTGACCCCACTCACAGTAAGAATGCATGTATTTCAAGGCAATAAAAACAACAGTAACAGGAGACAGACCCTCCTCCAGGAAAGTTACACACTGCACCTTTAAAACAGTGTACGTTATGTCATGTATTCAGTTGCAATACACTCTGTACATCTTCAATGGCAGGTCAATATTTATTATTTATCAACATTATTTGTCACAAATGCTTGATAAAGATGCACTATTTCACTTTTCTGGTAAACAGTCTGCCACCCACTTAAAAGGTGCAGTGCATAACTTATCTCGTAGAGCAAGTGGGCCAAATTTGGCACGCGATACAATTATATTTGGCCCATGAGATCATATAAAATATGTATTAGAGCTGGCCCACCGGCTACAGATAGGCTATAGAAACATTTATTTAAAATTTTGTTATTATTGTATACTATGTTTGTTCTGGATTCAATGTTTAAGCAGCACTATTATTAAACATTTATTTTAATAAAAGGTTTAACATTACATATTTCGAAAGAAGAGAAAACATGCAGATGTTGTTGCAATTTTTCAATAAATATTTAGTTTGGCCCATGACTTAGTCCCAGTTTTTAATTTTGGCTCTCTTGTGAATTTGAGTTTGACACCCATCATAGAAGGTCAACTTTCTTTGACATCTTTGTCTGGAATGTCCTAGTGCATCTTGCATTTGCTCAATAGCGCCAGTTTTTATTGATTTAAAAACGTACATTCTTAATGAATCCCCCAGGCAGACTGGGCGGACCCCACCCGTTTACCTCTTAATGGTTTCACATCCTTTTGAACTCTGTCTTCAAAGTTTTTTTTCAACTTTCCCTTACTGCACCTGTCAACTATCAGTCTCATGCCAGTATTTAGCCTTAGACAGATTTTACCACCAAACACTAATGAGTGATGTAATAAGATACTTTCCATAGAGGGTAACTAAGTAAAGTTAGGAATAAAAAAGTAATCTTTTTAAAGAAGTAACAAGCAAACATTACTTTTTAAAAAGTAACTTCCCCAACACTGTTCTCCACAGATCTGACATGTAACTTGGCTCTGTGGCATCACCTTCTGTCTTCATAGAGACTGTGAAACATACCAGGCAACATCACGGAGAGAAGCTGGTGATGAACCTGCCATCAGAAGTTACACAGTGCACCTTTAACTTCATAGAGATGTCACTGCTTTGCCTTGAATGTTCCCCACTGTGTCATTAAACTTTAAACAAACTCAGTTTCCACATAAACAAATATGTGACCGACCAGACAAAGTTACAGGTCAGATCTGTGAAGAGGCAAGCCTGTTCACAGTAAGAATGCAAGTTTTCAATGTATTTTTTCAGTAATGTGAGATCACGTCAGTGTTTTACTGTGTAACGCTGAGCCAAGCTGAAGCACTAACTAATGAGCAGATTTTAACAGGTTTAGAGCAACTTATTTGTGTGTTACCAGTCCTTGCTAATTGCTCCTGTATTGTGCTGCCGAGGGCTCCACACACAACGTCCTCGATCCTTTCTGTTGTCCATTTGAATGTGGCTTATTTAGGAATTTTACCTTCATATGGGAACAACTGGGGAAGATGTGGAACAGGCATACTTACAGGAGGTCCTGAAAGAAAAACACAAGAGAAGAGAATATATGGTTAGTGTTTTCAATCAGCAATCAAACAGACTCCGATCATCAATGTTCCCGTAAAACCACATCCAAAATAAGGACCAGAAAGTTCAGAAATCAAAGACTAGGATAAAATCTTCTCAGGGCATTTTGTGAACTGATAATGTAATAATATGCTGTATTGAAACTTCAGCTATATGTACTTAAAGGAGGATTGTGTAACTTTCCTGGTGGAGGACCCATTACCTGTTTCTATCCATGGAGGTGTTATTGCTTTGCCTGCAATATTCCAAAGTTTATATGATGACGGTCTGAACAGAAGACGCAAAAGTGGCATCGCGTCTTCACTTTTTATTCTACGTTTAGACGAGCATTTTCGGAAATCTGCGTGCATACGGTGATACAAAAGTGTGTGGAATTCAATTGGATATGCATGCCAGGTGTCTGTGTACTAGATGTATGTGACGTAAACGTGTACGTGATATGAGCACATCTGACCAGAGTTTTGCGTCTTGGGCAGTGTAGATAGAAATCCTACGGCGGAGTGTATTCCACTTTTCCACTCTAAAGTGCGGGTTCAGATTTTTGCGTTTTTAAGCCCCAAAAACGCTGTCACCGTCTAAACGAAAGGCACTTCCGATAAAATATTTTGTCATTTTTACCCGCAAGTGTTCTTGTGTAAACAGGGCTTATGGCGTTAAATGTATCCATCTTCATAGAGACAAGCAGGAGATGCCATTAGACAAATTTACAGGCGAGATCTGTGAAGCAGTGACCCGACAAAGTAAAAATGCACGTTTTTAAAGGTATTTTTGAGCAATAAAAACACTTATATTTGAATAAATGCATTTTATATAAGTTTAATACCATGGAACATTACAGGCCAAGCAATAGAGTCTCCATGGTGACCACCCCTCAACCTGAAAAGTTACGCAATGCACCTTTAAATAGTTTTTCCTGTAAAAGGAAGGGATGATGTGCTGATTAAGTGAGGAATTACACATCTGTAGTGTGAAGGCACCAGTCCTATCTTGCAATGGGAAAAATAGTTTTTTTTTTTTTTTTAGCATATACTTATACTTAACAAACACTTTTTTATCATCAACAATATTTCTTAAACTATACTTATTTTAATGTTCAAACTTGTGAATAATCAAAGTTGCCTTTCTTCAAATATATTAACATACACATCTATCTATTTATATTAATTTACATATATGTTCACAACAGTACCCTCATGTACATACAGGAAAAAATATAGTTTATTATTATTATTGTTTATCTATTGCCCAAATTTGTATCATAATCTAAAACAATTTGCACATCATTGTGACATTTAAAATCCTTCTAGGTCACCACTGCAAGTATTTTACATCAGATGCCCTTCAGATCCTTCTGCACCGCTTTTCCAACTGGTCATGGGTCTGTTGCAAACATGACTTAATATGACCCTGTTTGCCTGGCCTACATTTACTTGAAACAATTACGTATTTTTAAGAGGTGTCACTAGTTTCCTTTGCCCCTAATTACCAAAGCATTGTATCATCGTGAAACCTCCCCAGAACACCACAAATAACACTGTAGGGTCCCTATTAAGCAGGCGCCCAGCTGCTGAAAATTAGGGTCAGTTTTTACTATTTCACTGTAGGACTAAAGGGGAAAGTGCAAATGACTCCTACAGCTGGGATCCAACCTTTTTGATGCTCGCTGTGCCTCTCTTTGTATGGTTTTATGGCTGGCTGAATTACAGTACACCACTTAGCTTTTAATAAACCTTCCCCAGCGCGTTAGTTTGGAGACATGTCCCACTGTGTTGAAAGACTCTACAGGCAGTATTCAAATAGCAATTATGGAAGAATAATGATCAAAACTTCCATTTTAAACTCCTATATTATGTAAAACTGACTCTTGTGAGCTTTTAGCCGTGTTAGAACATTGTTATCTAATCCAAAACATACAGGGAGTTGTGTTAGGTTTCATTCACACATATTTGAGTAACTCTGTAATTCTGAGGCTGTCTACATTTCCAAAGCTCAAAGTGTTCCACCTTGTGATGCCATGTAGTGGTAGTTTTCAATTTAACAGCTACCTTTTACCTTTTGTTCAGTAGAGATTGGCAATTCCAGGGCTGAATTCATCCAAATGATTCTAGTTGAGGTGTAGGGAGTTTCAAAACACAGTGGAGCACTTCTTGTATTACCACATGACATCACAAGGTGGAACAGAGCGTTTTCTGTTTGAGAGAAGTGCTCAGCCTAAGGGTCTGTGCACATGATGTATTTTTTTTTTGGTTGAAACTAGGTAGTTTGTATTTGTTTTGGCCTTTTGTCCACACGGAACATTTCGAGTGGGTGAAAATGGTGTTTTTTGAGAACGGGTTCCAGAGTGGAGGGATCTGAGAATGCTGGTGTGGTGTTGTCGTGTGGACAAGCAAACCGTAGCTTTTGGAAAACGATGACGTCATGACCCCATCACAGCCCTCGAACTAGCCTCCGTGGGCCGCAAGACCGTTGCCGAAATGGGACAGGTGTAGCCCACGGAGCCGCTCCTGTTGCCCAGCAACCCGAGGTATGCTGCTGTCGTTAATGCTAACAGCACGCACCACGCAGATTACGCACACGGATCAATAACAACAATTATGCATGGGTAATCAAACTGTTGGATTTTAAGACCAAGATATTCTAATAATTCTCATCCAAATCTGGCTAAAAACAAAAACTTATGTTTAACTTTTGCAGAACAAAATGGCTATATTTCTAGTCTAAACTAGGCTAAATGACCTTAAAGTAAAAAAAAACAAACAAAAAAACCTGATGAGATATGCATTATTAAATATTATTATCATTGTTAACAGCGACACATACAGGTGTGGCATGTGTATTACATATGTGCTCTCTGTGCTCTGTTGTCATCTGGATGTGAATATTTATTGATCCGACACCTGTGTGGACTCAGATTTTTTTTCAACCCGCAACATAGCTTGAATATGCAGAGTTTGTGAATGAAACAAAACACAACTCGCTATGTTTGCAATGAGGAAACAACGTTATAACATATATCTGAAAATAGCAAAATATGAGCCCTTTAATGTTGCTATCTGAAGTTATGTAAAAGTCTTAATACCTTTTGTGTAGCCAGGTAGCGTCTTAAAGTTAACAAGAAGCCATTATTTAAATCAGACGAAGAAAAAAAAAGCGAGGTGACTTCAAACACTTTCCAGCTCTGACCGCTTGTTGAATAATTTGAAAATGCGGCTTCCACTTCTACAAAAACGTTTTCATCCTAAACCATAAAAAAAAAAAAAAAAGTTCCTCTTTTCCTTTCCTTTTCCGTATGGTCCCTGTAAACAAACAACTTACTAATGAAGTATCCCCTTCACTTTAGCCCATGTACAAATACAGCCATGTCCTTTTTCCTATTTATTACTTATGGCCAAGTCTGGACCTTTGTAGATGGGTAAAAGGCGTCACTAAGGCACACCTCAGCCTGGATTTTGTAGAGAACCTGCGGAGGTGTAGTTACTTTGAGTTAAAGCGAATCATGAATTAAATATGCCCAGCTTCAACATTCAGCGCTGTTGAAAACTTTAAAGAGAGTAATTGGATTTGCAGAAGGCTTACAGTGCAGAAAGCAGCATACGCCAGAGCCCATCAAGGACTCAATCTGACTGTCGTACATTTTATGCTGTGAAATGTGCTCATAGTCTGGGTTATGCCTGCTAGAATTCTTTCATTTCTTTTCATTTACCTAGACTTTTACATACCACTGCATCAGAAAATCGGAAAAATGCTTGCCAATTAAACATAAGTATTCTAAAGGAAAGGACCAATCAGGGTAGGGACGCACAACATAATGCAATCTCAATTTGATGTGTAGCAATTATTACATCTCTGTTCCTGCAATTATTTAGGTTATAGAATTTCTTGCAGCTCATATTTCAGTCTTCTCTCATGTCAGTTTTAAGGGCCAATATTCAGCTGTTTTCTACTCTATATTATAATGTGTATTAAGCAAAACTGACTCTTGTGAGCTTTAAGACGTGTTATAATGTTGTTACCTCATCCAAAACGGAGCTGGAGTTGTGTTTTGTTTCATTCACACAAGTTTAACACACAAACCCATTTAGGCCGAGTTGTTCACTTAAACACAAAACACTCTGTTCCAACCTGTGATGTCATGTTTTTAAACTCCATACACCTTTACTATAATAATTTGAATAATTTCAGACCTGGAGTTGCCAATGTCTACTAAACAAAAGTAAAAATACGACCACTACATGACATCACAAGGTGGAACAAATTATTCTGAGCTTTGGAGATGTAGACATACGAATAATCCAGGATTATTCAAACATGTATGAATAAAACAAAGCACAACTCCAGGTATGTTTTTGATGAAGTAACAACATTATAACACGGCTTAAAGCTCACAAGAGTCAATTTTGTGTAATATGGGACCTTTAAAACGTACACTCTGAACTGAATACTGATTTTAATTAGATTTTTCTCTTAGTCTTAGTCCTTATCGTTGCACCTGTACAGTAAAAAAGTGAGAAAGTAAAAGAATCTCTGTGCATTAATGTTCACATTCAATATTCAGCTTTTGTCCATGTAGTACTTTGCAAGAGTTTGACATGAAGAATACCATTTTGAGAAATGAAGTCAAATGCCTTCTGAAATGGACTGAACTTTTCTCTCTTTGAAAGCATTACTAGCTACAAATCTCTCTTTTTCTTCATCCTTTCTAAGACATTTTCACCTCACTTAACGGTGCACTGCATTACATTTCTAGTGCAGGGTCCGCCACCTGGTGTCTCCATGGAAATGTTATTGCTTTGTCTAGAATGTTCCACAGTGTAGATTAAGGCCCTGTCCACACTAGTACGTATTCGAGTCGTTTTCGTTGCAGATGCAGTGTTTGTCCACACTAACCTGATTGAAAAGGGCTCCAGAGACGGAATGATCTGGTGCCGCCAGCTCCCACGAATTCACCTA